TTTGTGTCAAGCCCCTTAATGTGTGCTGAAAATATAGACACTGTCTCTGCCCTCAAGGAGCTTTACCTTGGGGTGTGAAGGCAAGGGGAGCTGACCTTTTTTGACCTCCTCCTAAGTGTAGACAGTAGGCTTTGTATTTTACGTGCACTGTCTTTCTAAAATTCTCCCAGCAGCTTTATGAGTAAGTAACTATTATCACCAAATAGGTAAGCTGAGGCTCAGAGATGTTAGGGAATTTGATTCAGCTAATCCGTAATGAAATCTGTGTTTGAACACAGGATTATCTGACTCTAGATTTGGAGGAGGAGTCCTTATTTTGGTCAGTGGCACTGGAAAATTGGTAGTAAGGAGTTCAGACTTGATAATGTGATTTGAAAAGTACTCGCCATATTTGTCCTGAGTCCTACCCAATCTGCTGTGACGCCCAGTCAGCTTATCTGCTATCAGTGCTTTTCAACTGGGTTAACCATTACTTTCCTCCTCATCTCCTCTTTTAGTACCTTAACACCAACTCAGCAAGGCTCTGTCACCTCATCATGGATGAATTTACTAGCATGAGGGTTTTGGGTGCCTGCTGCGGGGGCAGAGGAGAGACTGGGAGCCCAGGAGGTTGATGCTACAGAAACATGGAAAAATATATTGTTCTTCTTTGTCTGGTACAAAGACTTTGTGCCAGAGTCTTTGGTACACAGACTCTCTCTTTTTTGATGCAAGTTAGAACCATCTACCATAATTAGCAAAGGGCAGTAACATGAGCCTTTTGAATGAGTCCTGTGCCCGGGCTACAAGGAGGAAAGGAGAGATTCATCATGTTGTTTCATAAGCATAAATACAACTAATTAAGTGAAGGTGAAATCTCTACCATCTATATGATGTTTATTTAAAATGATTTGCTCAAGACATGCCCAGAATCCTTCTCTTTAGGAAGATAGCTAGGAGCTGGGTGGAGACAATTTGGGCATTTGAGGAACAGGAACAAATTGCACTGGCAAAGCTGAGAAACCACCTGAGCCAGGAGTTGGCTGTGACCAGTGGATGGACATCTGCTGTTTTTGTCTGTTCAGCACATCCTTGGGGAAATGTTCTTCTTCCACTCTGACCATGTGATTGGGATGGTGCTGCCAATCACAGTTTCTTACCCAATCACCTGGCCACAGGTGTTGGTACATGATCCACACTCAGCCAATTACAGTACCTTGTTTGCTTGGCCCCAGTGATAGGTCCACTGCTGGGCATGTGACCCAAGCTTGCTTGCTTGGAGCCATTTCTTTTGGCAATGAGAACAAAGGACTTAGATCTTTTTCTGTGGTGCAGCTTAAAGGAGAAGAAGGAGGGACTTCTAGGGCCTTTTTTCTCTATCACGTGGCATCAGCTGTCTGTAGGGGAAAATAGAATCAAAGTGGGAGCAGCAGAAATGGAGGAAAAGGGGACCAGGAGTATTGAGGATCCAGTTCCCATTCTTGAGTCTCCTAGAGAGGCTCTCATTCTTGTCCTTTGCATTTTAATTTTGTTCTTTTCTGCAATTTCATGAGTCAATGGATTCTCTTCCTGATTAAACTTGTTTGAGTTGGGCTACTGTTACTTCCAAGTGAAAGAACCCTGACTAACGTAGATAGGAACATCAAAAAATCATATTTTGAGAACATTTTCTTGTAAGGAGCTGGCACCTTACGTGTTCTGTATCGAGTGCTTGGTTGAAACTTGGACCATGTAGGTTGGGGCAGCATGCAGCTTCCCAGCAGAGAAGGAGATCAGACCAACTAAATACGGAGGCGCAGGATCAAGAGTGTCCAACACTTGACCTCAGGCCAGCCATACCTCCTTTGGGCACCAATTCTAAAATTCCACCCTTTTGACTTTCCAAGACCACGTAAGGGGCGAATTATTCTTAGTTTGGTCTCGTTCTCAGAGATCCAGCCTAGAACTCAACTCGCAGCACGCTGGCAGCCAGGCTTCCAACCAACCCCACCAAAGGTCTAGAGGTAACAGTTTTAAAGCATGGTTGTCTACATACCTACTCCCTGGAGATACCAAAGGGACTGGCTGAGGAGGAGAGAGGGAGACACTGCTAAGACAATTTCCACTCCCACTTCAACTGCACCAGCCCTCCCAGCCCCCGATTTCTTTCATTTTGTTTTATTCTATTATTTTAAATTGAAATATTTAGTTGATGTACAATATCATGTAAATTTCAGGTGTACTACATAATAATTTGACATTTGCATACATTATGAAATGACCACCAAGCTAATTCTAGTAACCATCTGTCCCCATAAAAATTGAACACAGTATTATTGACCATATGCTTTGTGCTGTATATTACATTCCCGTGACTTATTTATTATATAACCGGAGGTTTGTATCTCTTAATCTCCTTCACCTATTTCCCCCGCTCCCCGCTTCCTTCTTCCTTCTGGCAACCACTGTTGTCCCCTGCCAGCCCCAATTCCCCCCCCCCCTTTTTTTTTTTTGGCTGCGCCACACGGCATGCGGGATCCTTGTTCCCTGACCAGGGATGGAACCCGTGGCTCCTGCAGTGGAAGCACGGAATCCTAACCACTGGACCCCCAGGTCTTTTTTATATAATATGGGGGTTTAATGCACAATTTTGTTTGAAAATGGGTTCCCTTAAAATAAAAATAAAACCTTTAAAACCATTAATCTGACGAACTTAAGCCAACCACTACTATTCTCTGAACAAAAGGTGACATGTGACATGTCAAATAAATCAGTAGGAAAGAAATTCCAACCAACTCTTGCATAAAAAAAGGACCAGAAACATCCTTACTGAAGGGAAAAAAATCACTATTTACAATAACCCATGTTTTGCCAAATATTGTCAATCAAATGTTGGATGTAAAGACAGCATCTTGGACAAATGACCCCATGCCCATATGTTAATTAAGAAATATGGCTTTATTCGCTTGTTCATTCACTAAATACTCACTGAGTGCCCGTACCTTGGGCTTACTGTGCTAAGTGCTGGGAACACTGGGTGAACAAGATCTTTGATCTTTCCGCCCATGGAGATTTTGGAAGTTTATCCTTCCCTTGCAAGAAAACCCTTTTTTTTTTTGGAGGACTTATCTTTGGGCAAAGGAGGGGGAGATTGGCTCTAAGATCCAACTGGAAAAAAGGTTTTGGCACTATACCTGGGGTCCAACCGTCCTTCCAAACATAGAGTCACTTACCTTCTCTAACCAACTTTGCTCCAGCTGTAAAGTCCCATCTGGGCCTCAGGGCCAATCTTTGCCTTTAGGATTCTGAAGGATGATTTAAAGGCATGTCTGTGACCCAGCACCTAGGCACTCTCAATCCTTGGTTGTGGCCGTCAGGAGTCACTATAAATGTCGTAATGAGGCCAACCAAAGGATGGAGAACCAGTCCTCCTAATGACTTGTGAAAGTCTCTGTGGGATAGGAAACCTTGGTTCTACTTCTGACTGTGATGCTCATATCTTGGTAGCTTCACCCATCTGAGTCTCTGTATCTTTACCTATGGGATGAAGGGGCTGAAACTTGGACTTTCCCAGAGGACTATCCGAGTTTCCATATCTGGATGAATTAGTTAAGGTAAGGCTAGCTACTGTAATAGATAAATTCTTGGTGGCATAACAAATGCATGCTTCTTTCTTTTCACATCATAGTCAAATAAGGGTGGTCTTCCATGTCACCATCTGGGGCCCAGCTCCTCCCATATTGTGTCTCTGCCCTCTTTTAAGTTGGGGGCTGTGTGAAGCTTCCAAGAAGAGCAGTAGAATAGACAAATTTATGAATGCCCCAAATCAAGATGATTTAAAACACTTGAGCTGGTAAATGGGGAAAGAGAGAGAGAGAGAGAGAGAGCGAGCGAGAGCTCTCTGGGAAGTTTTATGGGCCAGGCCTAAGAAGTGTCTTACATCCATTCCACCCACATGCCATTGGCCAGGAGTTGGTCACATGACCACACCTGAGAGCAAGGAAGTCTGGGAAATGCAGTCTAGCTGTGTAGTGAAGAGGAAAGGAAAACAGGTTGCTACATAACCGGCCAGCTGGGTATAGAAAACGCTGGCCACTTTAGATGGCAGTCCTCCTCGCTATCCTCTACTTACCAAAGGGATTTAAAACCAAACACTTCTACCTTAACCAGGGGTATCATTTACAGGAGGGTGTTGCAATAATCTGGTTGGGAGATGACAGCAGGCTTGATTACGGAGTGTGCACACATCAGGTTTTCCCAGGAGAGATGGTCGCAGCAGGAGAGCAGGGCAGAGGAGGGGGGCGAATACAGGACTGCATGAAGATGCAGTTTATCACTAAAAAGTCATACACCCACTGTTCCATAAAGACAGTATTTTTTTTTAATTTTAAAATTCTGCATCTGAAAACACAGTATGACAGCATCTATATACAACCTGCGGTGTTTTTGGTACGATACAGTATTCAGTACCTCCACTGTTTTCTGCAAAAAAGTTTGCTTTGTCAGACAGAAACAAACTCCCCTAGACAAGAAATACAGCTAAGGCACAATTTCGTTGTTGTTTTTCTGCTAAATGAAAAGACAGAAAAGGTGCAAAAATGGGCCGGTAGTGCAATTGTTTCTGAGAATCACATTCTACTGCGAGGAAAAGCATTCGGAGGATTGGAACTTTGATGACTGGTCAATTTCAGATAGTTCAGTATCTCTTAAAATACTCCTTTAAATAAATAGCAAAATATCTACATCTTTCAGTGTGTGCCTTTCGAATTCTCTCTTTTTAAAAAAACTTTATTTACAGTCTCTCTTTTTTTAAAATCAATACATTACAAAATATTTCTGTACAGTTTTATGCGTATTATGATCTATAACAAAATAGTTATTTTTTAAAAACTATATCACCACATGTCTTTGAGAAACAATGAGGGGGACGGTAATAACTTATTGTGAGGCCTCTAAAAAAAAATACCCAAACGTCTTTGACAACATAATAATATATATATATATATATATATATATATATATATATATATATATATAAGACAAAGGACGACAAAGACGATTGCGCTCAATTCCAGTGAATTTCCTATGAAAACCCTGGGGTTGTCTTTGGCCTCCATCAGCCCTGGAGCGACGGCAGGGAAATGGGGGGATTCTGAAAGTAGGTAGAGTGTGATCCCTTTGAGAACATGACCCATCCGCTGGGACTATTTAATGCTATCACTTTCCAGGCAGGAAGGATGAAGAGATAAATTGAGAAACTCTCCTGATTTACCCATGAATGAAGTACCTAAAGTCACCAAGTTTTGGGGGGCGGGGGAGGGCTGGAAAGCCCACGTCGGCAGCCCATCGCAGTGGCGATATGCTCTAGGAGAGTGCTTCGGGAGTTGGTTGAGGTTTAGATGAGCACCCAAGCCTTCATTTTACCCATAGGAAAAACAGAAAATTTTTCTTCAAGACGACACAGAGAAGCCATTTCTATCACATCTGCAAGCTACAGATTGGCAGCCCCTGGCTTAGGAGGTTGCCCTGAGAGCTTCAAGATGCTCTTTCTTCTCGGATGTTGGTGGAAATGGGAGGGGGAGGGTGGTTAGCTTTCCCAAAATAATTTTAAGGCCTCATTTCAAAAAGGAGAAACCTACGGCTTTTGGGGGTGGGGGAAGGGAAGGATAGGGAGGCAAATGAGGGGTGGAGAGGATGGAGCTGGGAACGGAGGTGGCAAGGTGCAGAACCTGCTTTCCTGCGGGGTGTGTAGGCAGAGGCGGCTGGAGTGTTCCCAGCCAAGGGGAGGGCGACAGAGGGCTGCTTTCTCGCTGCCTGGGGCTTGGCAAGGACAGAACCAATGACAACGTGAGGGGCAGACACAGGTGGCACGTGAAAGCCCTCCTCAGTCTTAAGAGGGGTCTGTACAGTATCTTGTTTGCCAGGTAAAAAAAGTAATACTTCTGAGAGAGCGAGAGAGAAAGAAAGAGAAAGACAGAATTTGCATAGATTATGCATTTAGCTCCAGCAGATTTTGGACACCTTTATCCCCCCCCCCCCCCCCCCCCGCGGTAAACTTCTCAGCAGACACATGAGGTAGCGCCTGTGGTTGACCCATGGGCATAGTAAGGTAAGTGAGGCAGAAGCACAGGGGACCTCCCGTGAGCACGGCTTCCAAAGATGTTTCCGGACATGTGGCAAGATGGCTGCTAAAACGTGGGATCTGGAGAGAGCCGGGCTGTTTGACACGCCAACCCCTCCTCCTGAAACACATCCTGGACCTCTCCGCCTGGTAGGATGGAATTCTGGAAGGCGGGGACCAGGCCAATGTGGACCTCCGTACGTCTAAGGGTCAGCTCTTGGGGTCTGCAAATTCTGTGCCATCTTCCCTTCAGTACAAACTGTCTTGAGACCAGGAGAGCTGAACACGCCAGTTATGAGACACTTCTCCTCTGAGGGACCGTTTCTTTGGGATGGGAATGACTAGTAAGAGGTCCCCATTCCCTTCAGAGCTGGACATGAGCTGTTAGTTTTTTGCCCCTTCCTAGTGGTGCCGTTTTCCTCCCCCACCGGGACAAGCCTAGCTTCCTTTCAAACCATGTCTCCAGAGAGCAGAGTTTTCTGGCAGTGCACAGGCTGAACTGTGAGGTTTCTCTTTGCCTACACTCTGGAAAGAAAAAAAATGGCAACATTTCAAAATCATATTTCCTATAAAAATATGGATTTCTGGCTTCCCTTACCAGATTAGATGATTCTGCTGCACTGTGCCCGTATTCTCACGTGTACCTCAGGCTGGAGCTGAGATGCAGCTGTAGTTTTTTGTCTGTGTCATGTGCACACTGCAGACTAGACTACAGTACCCCCCACTCCCTAACGTCTTACACCAACGGCGTCACTCCTCTATGCTAGTGTTCTGGACCCTACAGCCACTTGTAACCCCTGCCAGAGGGTGTGGCTTCGATCTGGCAGGTGTTTGCCAACAGCTGTTTCTAGCACAGCCCCCTTGGGTGCTGCTGGAGGAGCGTGTCCTGAGTCCCCAGTGAACTTGGCTACGAAAGGGATCTTTGCTCAGGCCCCACACCCAGCAGCTACCGCCCTCCTTTCCCCTGCACCCTCTTGGCAAAGAGATCAGGGTTCCAGCCAGCATCCTCCTTGCACCTGCAAACTGGAGAACCGGAAGGAAGCATGGTCCCCCCCCAGTCCCGGCATGTGCCCAGAGCAGCTGTAATCTGCCCTTTTGGGGTGGCGTGCTCATTCCTTCTCAACTCCACTGGCATTTTGAAAGTTAAACTAACAATGGCAAATGAAGTCGGAATGATTCCTGATGAGATCAGAACGGCCTTTCTCCAAAGGGAGGAGCATCTGCACTTCTGAGAACATGGGGGGGTCCTAGGAACTGCTCGTGCCCTCCTTGGAGACAGACTGCCTTGCACATGGCCGGGGAAGCGGGACTCAGGAAGGCTGCCTGCCTCCTGAGCGTGGTTTCCACCTGAATGTCACAGGGGTGAATGGGAAATTGGACAGAGTGTCACAGCTTATTCAATGAGTCCTTCTCCCCCAAGCCCACGTCCCACCTCTAAGCCCTCCTGAAGTCCGAGGACCTGGTCAGTGACTCAGCCCACAGTCACGTTGTTTCTTTAATAGGATTTCCAGAGACCATGTTCTCAGGTTTTGAAACCCTCAGGCAGCCACAGCTCAAGGTTGCCTGACCAATGGCCTCTAACTAATAAATCATCCTCAGGTAGATTACAAAACTGAGTTAAACTATTTCTCCTGGGAAAACATCACCTTTGCTCAAATCATCCTGGGCTTTGTTTGAAATTCTCCCTTTTTTCCTTAAAGCCAAATGTAACATCTTCGAAGTGATTCTCTGGTTCAAAAACAGAGGATGTTGAGGGACATCCCATGAGGCCCCTGAGCTTCCCAGTCTCCTGGCGGTGAGGAGGGAATGGGGCCTGGGCCGTGGGGGTGGGGGCCGTCCCCAGAGTAAGCCAGCTCTGCCATTTCTCCACTTGTTCCCAGATGGAACAGGAGTCAGCAATGTCAGGGTGCAGGTGGGGCCCCGTCGAGGAGTCTGCAGGCTCATGGGTGCGCAGGGACGTGCCAGGGCAGAGCCCCCCAAACCATCACAAATGACACACAGGGCCCTAGTGGCGAGAAGGGTGAAAGGGCGGCTCCCCGGGCAGCTTCCACAGGCTCAGGGAGGCCCTGGCCAGAGGCAGAGGCCGGGGGCAGAAAGTGGATGTGACACGGGCCTCTTGGCTCCCACAGAACTTGCGAACCCATGTGGAGCTCATGTGGGCTTTCTGAGAAAGCCACGCCGAGGTACGCCGAGGTCCCTGGAAACACTGGGCCAGCTCCTGGGCTCTCCTGGCCGGGTCTGACCCCCTACCATCTTCCTAAAATAGATATCTTTTCCTCCAGGGCGTGGAGGGAGCCTGCTTTCCCTCACATGGAGGCCCACGGTTAGACTGGCTGCGGGAGGGCAGTGATGGAGGAAGCGGGGACGCCCCAGGTTCTGCAGCCGGCACAGCCTCCCTCCGCAAGTCGCTGGCCTGTTGCGTCCCTGTGCTGGGGGCGGGTGGCGGGGATGGCTCAGGAATTCCAACACCCCCAGAGCCGCAGGGCTGAGTCACGCTAACACCCTGCATGAGGAAGAGCGAGGCGCCACTGTTCCCAAGGACACCCCACTTCTGGCCAGTGGATGATGCTGGTTGAGGCGTTCTCCTCATGGTGTCCAAGTCCCCTGCTTCCCACTGAGGACACGGAGAACGCAGGGCAGAGACAGAGATGACAGATAGATAGATAGATAAAGCAGCAGAGAGACAGAAAGAGACAGACATGAGGGGCTGGGGGATGAGAGGGGGAGGGAGTGGAAGGGTGGGGGGAGGGGGCCTTTCGTGAATAAAGGCAGCTCCAGTTAGTAAGATAATGTAATTGACAAGCTGCAAAAACAGCACCTACTAATTAGTCATTGACCAAAACATATAAATAATAAATATCTAAAGTGTCCCTTCTCTATATCCTCCATGGCCCATAGGACATTCTGCCTTGCTGGGCTGGGGGTGTGAGTAGGGGGCGACAGCTGACAGGTCACTGGGAGCAAACGGCGGTACCTTCAAACCCACACTGGAGGCGAATCGCCAAGGACCAGCTCTCCGTGGGAAGGACTTTTCCAAGAGAACCCTGTCCTTGGGGGGAGGGTGGGACCAGCGGAGGAGGGGTCTCCGGATGAGCAGGGCAGCCCTCCGATGTACACATGGCAAGGAAACCCTTTGCGTTTCTAGTAACTCAAGCAATTTGAATAACACTGTTCTTTAGGTTTCAAACAACCAGATACTCAAGCTTCCCACTTTTACACTGTGTGTCAGATGGGCCTGTTGGCACCTTGGATAAGAAAGGGCATGAATTTAAAAACTAAATCTAAAATGCTTTTTCCTGGCCGTGAAAAGTCTGTTCCATGCAGTTTGGTCGCTCCCAGCAGCACCGAATGTGCGATTCACAAATGTTCCAAACGCCTGACCTCAGAACAAAGGGCTCAAGCACGTGACTGACAGGTATTGCTGTGCTGACCAGCTCAGGAGTTTTGCTCCCAAGGATCTCTATGAGTTTCATGGCCATGGTCCCCAGAGTTCCCACTGTCAAGGCCCAGAGGGGTCATGGTCTTGATCTCCTCGCCCGTGAACGGCTGGGGGTTTGACCCTCACGCTCATGAGCATCGCCCAATTTCTGCCTCGAAGGAGGGTGGCCTGGAGCCCAGGATGTCTGGCAGTCACAGTTTGGGTGGACCTTGGCCATGGCACATCAGAAGGCTCTCTGGCTCATCTAGTTACAAAGGAGGATGGCTGAACCTGAGAAGGGCTGGTGGGAGGCCCTGCCAAGCCCGCTACCTCCCTGGGGACGGGCCCACGAGAGCGTGACTTTAGTGTCCTGTCACTTCAGGGCTGGCACAAGGGTTTCCTGGCCCAGAGGAGCTGAAGGGCGGGGCTGGAGATCAAACCCACCCTCTGGGCAGTGCTTTTCAAACTAGGTTTTGCAGAGCCCTTGGGTTCTGAAGAGGTACCTTAGGAGATGCCCTTGGGAAGGGACTGCCCGGTGGGCTGAGCTTTGAGAAAGAATCTCACACTCGCAGCTTCAACCAGAGCAGCCTGGATTTCATCCTCACCCTGGACCTCCCTCCGCCTACAACTTAGTAAACAAAGCTCTGCTGCTCAAAATAAAAGTTTTGGAATCACTTGTCTGGGCGGGGTGGGGTGGGGGGTCAGGTCATTGAGGGGGAAGACAAGGAACCTGTAGCACTCGAGGATCAATCAGAAGAGGTAAGACCACCACGGTGCTGGGACTGAGCCGTCCCCACCCCCGGGAGGCGGCCTGCTGGGTGCAGGTGGCTGGCAGAACCTGCTTCGGCCTCCAAACCTTCCCTCCCGTCACTCGATGGCCAGGAGAGCCCCGCTCCCAAAAGGCACCCCCCTCGGGGGTGGGAGCCCAGGGTCCGGCTCCCACTGGCCCTCTGGCTGCTTCCCCTTTGAGATCCGCTGGGGCCCCCACGTGCCCAGTGCTACCTGAGCCGGCCGTCGGGTTTGACTGCGCCCAGCTCTGACTTGGGGTCAGGGCTGAAGGAGCTCCAGGCCGTCTGGCTGCAGGTCTGCATGACTGGGCAGACGGTGGGGCCTGTGGCACAGATGTCCATGGCGGTCCACATCCCGCCCACCAGCGAGTCCAGCCAGCGCTCCAGTGCGGCGCCGGCGGACGCGGCGTTCCTCCGAGCCAGCTCCACCTGGGCGGGGTTGATGGGCAGACTGAGGACGGGGTTCAGGCTCTGGAAGCTCTGCTCCATGTAGGCGCTGCGGAGGGGCCCGTTGTGCAGCCTCAATGCCTCCTCTGAAAGCCAAAGGGAACAATTACATCATTAGAAGAGCCATGGACTGGTCACCTACTACTGTGTGCTTGGCACTGTGCTGGGCACTGCGTAGCACCATTCAGTTTGCGGGACAATCTCACGAGGAAGTTCTCTTAGCACTCCCATCGTACAGACAAAGAAACTGAGCCTACGAGGACATTCCTTCAACAGGTATGAGCCCACTTTGTGCAGGGCATGGTCCATTCATTTATTCATTCAGCATGTATTTATGGAGCCCTTTCTATAGTCCAGACAATAATTCATTCAACACATATTTACGAAACATCTACATCTGCAAGGCATTCATTCATTTATTTATTTGATACAGATTTATTAAGTGCCAGGCTCTATTCTGTGCTGGAGCAAACCAGACAATGAAGGAGACTGCAATGCAGGGGAGGAAGAATGATGACAATAAAGAAAGAAAGAAGTAAATAAATCAGGTCATTCCAGAAAGTGGTAAGTGTCATGAAGGGAATAAATGGGGTGTGTTGAGTCAGAGCAGGGGCTTGATAAACTACGGCCCTTGGGCCAAATGCGGCCCACCACCTGTTGTTGTAAATAAAGTTTCATTGGAACACGGCTATGCCCATTTGGATACATATTGTTTATGGCTGTTACTACAGCACAGCTGAGTAGCTGAGACAGAGATTGTATATGGCCCACAAAGCTGAAAAATTTGCTATCTAGCCCTTTACAATAAAACCTTGCTGATTCCTGGGTTAGAGAGTGACAAGGGTGTTTATTTTAGCTGGGATGGCCGGGGAGACCTCTCTGCGGAGAGGACATCTGAGCTGAGCACTGATTCACGGGAAGGAAGAAGCCACGTGCAGATCCTGGAGAAGAGAATTCCAGGCATTGGGAACAGAGGATGCAAAGCCTCATTAAAGCTCATTAAAGATGCAAAGCATCTTTCCCCAAATCATACAGGTGATGAGAGTCAGAGCCAGGGTTGGAACCTGGGTCTGTGGACCTCAGAGCCTGGTGAGCAGCCCCGCCCTTGGCTGCTGAATGCCCACCATGAACTCTGTATAAGACCTGGATCTCTGCTTTGGTCCAAGATGTGGGGCATGAATGGCCCACAGCAAGGAGTCCTGGAAACCACGAAGCTGGGACCAGAGTGGGGTGGGGTGGGAAGTCCAGCTGGCTCCCAAAATGGCTCTGCCTTGCTGAGCACTGGGGTCTCATGCCAGAGCTTGGGGACAGCAGTCAGGCTGTCTGGGTTTGAATCCCCACGTCCCACATGCCAGGTGTGTTACTTCCTCCTCGTCAATAAAATGCGTGGAGAACCAGTACCTTCCACGTAGCTTTGTTTGTGATGATTAAATGTGCTGACTCATGTGAGGTGCTTAAAATGGTGCCTGGCATATTCTAAGTACTTGGGAAAGTTTAGCTAGGATTATTATTATTGGCATTATTAGTACACAATACACACACACACACACACACACACAACTATAGGGCTGATTTTATCATCCCTATTTTACAGATGAGGAAACGGAAGCAGCTATAGTTTAGAGACAAATCTGGAGTTAAATCCAGGGCTTGCTGACTCCAAAGCCCGTTCTTGTCATTATGATACTCTACCAAGAGGCTCATACATCAGCAGGAAGCTAAAACAATGCTTTTGTTTTTTATTTTATTTTTCCATCTGGGAGCTAGTCTTTTGCAGACTTGGTTTCCCCATCTGCAAAATGGGGATACTCACCCTTCCAGCAATTAGACTCACAGGGCTGGCACTCACAGGGCTGGAAGTTCACATGCTTTGTAAACAGTAAAGTAACGTATGAACAAGAGAGACAGTGACTGTTTCCCAGGGCTTAAAGATGGGGAAGCAGAAAGTCTAGACATTTGGGCTGAAGGAAAGAAGCTAGATGTTTCTATTTTGAGGAAGTTTCCACTCATGGCTTATTTAATTGCCAAACACAAGAATATATTCTTTTGAAAAGACTGGCTAATGATTCTGGTAGGTTGTGTTTTACCAAATCAGGTTTTGCTATAGCCAAGATCACTAGGATTAGAAGAAACCTCCTTATAAGACAATGTAGCATTCAGATGACAATGCTTTTCCTCTTTGCTTGATGGTGGCTGTCACCCTCGGAGACAACCAGGAGAGCCTGGATAAGCAGCACGTTACTTTCTAATATGTGTGGTCCTGAGTGAGGAAGAAAGACCGTGTATATGTGCCTGCCCTTCAAAAAGCAATGGGAGGGCTTCCCTGGTGGCGCAGTGGTTAAGAATCCACCTGCCAATGCAGGGCACACGGGTTCGAGCCCTGGTCCGGGAAGATCCCTCATGCCACTGAGCAACTAAAGCCCGTGAGCCACAACTACTGAGCCTGCGCTCTAGAGCCCATGAGCCACAACTACTGGAGCCCGTGCTCCGCAACAAGAGAAGCCACCGCAATGAGAAGCCCGCCGACCACAACAAAGAGAAAGCCCATGCGCAGCAACGAAGACCCAATGCAGCCAAAAATAAATAAATAAGATAAAGTTATTAAAAAAACAAAAAGCAATGAGAAAGCTAGTTGAACTAAAAATATGCTTTGACTTGCATGTACGAGAAAGTCATTCCTTTAGTCCCCAATGCCCCAGGAAGCTGGGGGGCTGGACTCTGGTCTGGAGGGGAACCGGTGGGAGAAAGCTGAGAAGCACGCCTGGAGCACATGTCCTATCTTGCTATACTTAGCAGAGCTTCTCTTTCTCGAGTTCCTTAAGGAGTCTGGCCCACCTCTCCCTGATGCCCACCAAAGGGTTTTCAGGGAAAAAACCCTGTTTTCTTTTCCTCTGTTTTTTCAGGAGGACAGAGCCTGTTCTCTTTGGAGCAGGTCCTGACTTCCCTACTAGAGCCTCTCAACGCCTTCATCTCTGCAGGGACTGCAGAGATGAGAAGCTGGGGACTGGGGAGACACCCAAACTGAGAAAAGGCAGGACATTCAAAGTGAAAAGAGGAGTTAACAAACATTTGAACGCTGGGAACCAAATATTGTGGTTGGTGCAGAAAACCCTTATGAAAAATGAGGTTAATGTGGGAAATGCTATTATAGCATCAGCCCACAATGCTCGTCTCTATAATTAAATTTCCCTCAATTCCACCTCATCAGATGTCTTGAGATTACCAGGGATGCATCAGTAGCAAATTACTCTTGACGAATCATTTTACAAATTGCATCGCTCCCACTTTCGTGTTCCCTGTCACCAGAACATCATTAACAGATACAATTACTGATGACAGGGGGGCTGCTCCCAGTGGGGTAAAATGACCCTTGGCTCATCCTGGGTATGCGTGGGGAGAGCCTCGCTGTCCTCAGAAATCCCAGGAGAAAAGATCGGAAAAATCAGGACCCCATGAATAGCCCCGGGCTATTTTACTGAGGTAGGGATGGATTCAGGGTCACTCGTTTTCTGTCCGATTAGCTATATGGGAAGCAAAGAGGAGACGGCCACTTCCATCCCTCTCCTCCACGTCTGGCTTTGGGAACCTTTAGAGATGCTAAGGATGTGAGCCTCATCAGTGGGACACTTGAGGACCCTAAGTAGGTGGGCTCTGGCCCCGCTAGTTCTGGAGGGGATGTCTTTTGCCTGTTTCATGGGGGAGAGGAGAAGCAGACTTCCATTACCTGAAAACATAAGGTCCAAATCTTTCTGCTTGTTCAGCACAGAAACTTAGCAGAAAAACTTAGCAGAAATGGACAGAATTCACATCAACACTCCCTTCTTAGGGCTCCAGGTGCCCCTCCCCATATCTATGTCCCCCTCTCCTTGTGTCACTGGCTAAATGACACCCAGCCCAGAGCTCTTTTTAGCCAACAGAGGCTGTAATGCGTTTCTGGCTTCTGGGTTTGTGATCTGTTAAATGGAGCCGAACAATTCCAAACACCAAGAGACCTGGAAATCCTTTTTCTAGGAATCTATGTTATGGATGCATCTTCATGGGCACATACTATCTTAGGTTCAAGAATCTTCTTTGCAGTGGTATCTGTAACAGCAACAACAAAAGAAGCTATGTGTCTACCCAGGCGGGGGTGGGGTAGGGACAGATAGATTGTGGGTCCTTAACGCAAAGGAACACTAGGCAGTTGGCAGCTTTACATATATTGACTCGGAAAGTGAAAAAAGCAAGTTTCACTACGAAGTGTATCATTCTATTCTTAAAAAAGTGACAATGTCTTTGTGATTTATGTCAATGCTTTAAAAGCACTGAGAAACCTCTAGAAGGACTGTACACCAAACTGTTGGCAGTGGCCACTCCTGGGGATGGGATTGAGCAGGGAGGAAGACGTTACCTGTGATAAAAGAAAGGGGGGTGGGGAATAGAAAAATAAAAGAAAGCCTTTTGGAAAAAAAAGAAAAAAGGCAGGCATGCTAGGAGTCTGACACCCCTCTCCCTGACCCCATGCCCAGTGGGAACCACCATCCTGAATTTCCTGTTAATAATTTCCTTCATTTCTTTGCAGCTTTCTACTGATACATGAATCCTGAAATACTGTACTGTTGGCTTGGCCTGTTTTTGAACTTTAGATACATGCATGGTAATTTTGATAGCCCCACCCTAACATTACGTTCTAGAGGCTCATCCAGATCAGCACGTGGAGGGTCCTACGCCGTGTTCCCTGCTGTGTAGACCTCCACTGTCGGGACAGACCACACCGTTGGTCCATTGGATGTTGGATATTTGGACTGGTTCTGGTTTGGTGCTATTATGAACAGCTTGCTGTATTTCTGCACAAGTCTCTATGGCCTCTACCTCGGGTGGAATTTCTGTGCGGTAGGGTATGTGTATATGTTCAACTTCACCAGCAAATGCGAACTCATTTTATTACGTGGCTCTCTCGCTAGCACTTACATGGATAGTTATTATTCTCCATCTTGACCATCAAATGATGTTGTCTCATCTTCAAACATGTCCTAAACATGGCAGATGTGAAGTGGAATCTCTTTTTGCTTTTAATTTGTATTTCTCTCATTATTCATGAGGCTGAGCATCTTTTTATATATGTGTGTATATGCTCTTTTTTCTTTCTTTTATATCAGGGATTAGCCCTTTCTCTAAAGGGCCAGATAGCAAATACTTCTGGCTCTGTGGGCAGCTACCCAATGCTGGCGTTGTGGCCCCAAAGCAACCACAGTCAATATGTAAATGAGTATGACTGCATTTCAATAAAATTTTATTTACAAAAACAGGAAGTGGGCTGGATTTGGCCTGTGGCTTGCAGTTTGCTCTGACTTAGGGGATTTCCGAATTTGAGTCCTTTTTTGTGTGTGCAAATATTTTCCTTTAGTATGTGATACGTCTCCTCACCTAGTATCATGCTTTTGATGAACAGAGATTCCTATTTTAGTTATTTTTTTAAAAACATCGAACAAGATTTGCTGAAACTCAGTATCAGCTTGGGTTTATTTCCCACCTGGTCTTAAATATGATCAGGACCTTCTAGAAGTCCAGTGAGAGAGCATCTAATAAATAGATAGAGACAGATAACATCACCTCAGTGTGCAGAGACAGGCAGAAAATTAGAAGGTTCTGTATGACAGATGAGCAGGAAAAAATCCTGGGAACAGAGGGCACTGTTCTCGAAGGTGGCCCACATGCCCCATGTCTGAGCAACACCGCCTGCCCAGGTGAAGGACCCAGGAGGCCTCGGGCAATGGAATATTACCCCCCAGAAATAGTGGAAGTACTCACCCGGTTTGATGGGCTGCCTGTTTGAGAAGGTCAGAGGCGCGACGAGGAATTTGGTTTCTGCGACTGGCACCCAGTGGTGGAGAATTTTCACTGTCCAGACCCCAGGCCTCAGGGGCAAGTTCAAAGGGGGCTTGTAGTGGGTGAATTCGGCAGTGGACTCAATCAGGATGTCGTAGGTGGCTGCGATGATGTTGACGGGATCCACCCAGACGACAGTCACAGTCACGTTGGGGCCCTTCCCCCATTTCTGCATGCCTACTGGCTCATCCATGGGCCCCAGGAGACCCCCAAAGTTGCGAAAGAGCCGCTCCTTGGCATCCCAGTCAGTGCCGACCTGAAACAGGAGAGCGAGTTCTGAAATCACTGGGCCTCTTAGGAAGACCTAGGATACTGCTTATTGGGCTTCATATACCCATATAACAGACGAGGACACTGAGGCTCCAATTAAGTTACTTGCTCAGTAACTTAATGTTGGACAGGCAGTAAGCAGGAGACCTGGGATTTGGACCTAGTCTGAAGGATTATGAGGCCTGTGGTCCATTTCACTAAACCTTTGGGCCTCCTGTGCCTACTGTGTGGTGTGTACATGGAATGAATGAATACCTGCTTGCAGGCCATTCCATGGAAACATACAACCTGCCACTCAACAGGTGCAGGTGATTTCCACTTTAGTCACTGGCTTTCCACATAATGTGCCTCTTTTTAGTACAATCATTCTGAACAAGAGTGGAGCTCAGGATTTGGAGCTGCCCTATTATAAGCTAGGAAACGTGAGGGCCCCTTAGTATCGCCTATCATTTGCAGGAGTTCAGATAGCTTTCAAGGGAAGAGACCGCTTCGGCTTCCCTAAAGCATTCTGAGCTGGACTCTAGGGGTGGGAGATGGTTGTACAATATCCATCCTTCCTGCCAGCCAGCGGGGGGTGTGTACGGCTTTGACGCCCCCAGAAATCTGCTCTTGGCTTCCATCCTTCCCCTTTTGCTGCCTGCAATTTATTCTCCACCCAGTAACCAGAAAGACCTTGTGAAATGTCCTCTCACTGCTCAAATCCCTGTGGCTGGTCCCCTGCTGATTCCTGGTGCCCAGCTCTGTGCTTGGTACACAATCAATGCTCCATCAATCACCTGTCAAATGAATGCGTGAATGACTTGGCAAAAAATGAATGAACCACATAGATCCCTGATACTGAGCTTTGATACTATTTCAAGTCAGATTAAATTAGGGCCTCTTCTCTCCCCCAGGAGGTTTAATATAATGTTCTGAAGACACAGCCTGTGGGTGCATGGTAGCAGGTCACGAGCACACCACAAGGACACTGCTGCCGTGGCCCTTCTGTGAGCCGCGTCTCTGATGTGTGTGTGTGCAGGCTGGGGTGCAGGTGTGGCTAAACATGTCTACACCCTGAGCAGACTTCACATGTGCAGTGCAAACATGAACTGGTTTACTTTCTCGTTGTTCGGGCCACAAGTTACTATACCCAGGACACAGGGCTACACGGCTAATATTTACTGAGAGCTTCTGGTGTGCCAGACCTACTGCTAAGTGGGTGGGTGCATCGATCTGGCTAACATTCCCAACTCCACGGAGGGGGGACCCTTGACGTTATCCTCACTTCACACATGAGGAAACTGAGGTTCAGAGCAGTTGGATGACTAGCTCTGATCAGTGAGGGGGACTCAGGAAGTCTGACCCCAGAGTCTGGGTTCTTATTCACTCTTCTATATATTGCCTCCCATTCACTCACTCACTCACCCACTAATCCATTCATTCATTCATCCATCCAAAACATATGTGCCGGGTGCCTACCACCTACTGGGGTGGTTGTAATACGTGCATGTTCCAGGCCCACAACGTGCTTCAGGTTTCCATCTTTAGGCCAAGATTGGCCTTGAGGAGCTGTCCTAAGGGGCAGCAGAGGGAGTTATGCTGGGACAGAGGCAGCCGTCCCTCCCAGCCTTGGGAGATCTTGGCCTGTTCTGCCACCCTGCCACCCTCTCCAGGTACTGGCTCCTACTGAGGACCCCTGGGGCCTAGCACAGCAGCTGAAACACTGGAGGAATGAAAACAACACTGTCTATTGAAGAAATAAATGAATGAGTGGGCAGGATGCAAGCTAGGCCTCAGAGATTGTTCTAGAGAAACCTGATCCTGCGACCTCCATCCATACAATCCTTTGTAGCTCCTTCCCACCGTTCATGAGTCCAGTCTTTCCTCCCATCCTATCCTGTGAGGTCTGGTCCTTTACGATCCGACTCCAGCTTCATCTCCATCCCTCTCCCTCGCCTCTCCTCCCCCATGCTCCAGGCCACCCTGGAACACTCTCGGTGCCTGTGCCAGAAGGGTTCTCTCTCCCCTGATCTTCCGTCCACGCCCGGCCCTCTTTTGGGCTCAGTCTTCCTTCCTTCCCCGCCCTCCTCCTGGCCAGTTCATCATCTAGTTCTCAGCCCAGGTGTCACCTCTCCCTGGAAACCTTCTTTGCTTACAGGCACCCCTGATGTGCTTGTCTAAGCATTTGCCCAGCATAGCTTTTTAACCTATCTATCTATCTATCTGTTTTGCGCAGTATCACAACTTCTAATTTACACGTCTCTCTCCATAGCTCAAAACTGTCATGTGAAGAAGAATATATGCATATGTGTGTGTGTGTGTGTAACTGAGTCACTTTGCTGTAGAGAAGAAATTAATGCAACATTGTAAATCAAATATACTTCAGTAAAATAAAAAAAAAAACCCTAATTGTCAACTGCATGAGGGCAGGGACTACATCTGGCTTGTTCACTACTATATCACTAGTGCCGAAAAGAGTGTTGAGCGTGCGGTCGGTGCTCAATATCTCTATCTATCAATCCATCCGTTATCTACATGTGTCATGAAAGATTAGGGGCCAAGCACATGGACAGATAGATCAATGATCACAAAACCATTTTGGGGTCCTACTTAAGGAAGGGATGTATGACCCGTTAGGGGAGCGGGGGGACAGTCCAGAACATCATCTTTGGATTCCCCAGGGAAATGGGGGTGAACAGGTCTCCTAAGTCTGAGTTCTAAAACCAAGATAACCCAGGTGGAAGAGCTGTGGAGCAGCTGACAGGGGGAACTTGAATCTGTCCTATATCTAGGAGAGGAGGAGGAAATCAGCTGCTGTCTCCAAACATGAGGGGATCTGGGGCTGCCCGAGAGGGAGCCCCATTGCTGTCACATCATCTGTGGCCCTCAAGATCTTCTCACCAGGCCTCACCATGGAAGTCCACCGCCATTCACTGCCAAGCGGTCAATTACTCAAATTTAAGTATGCGTTGAAGTTCAAGCTCAATATACTGGTCCCCAGCTTCAAAGTCACCAAGGCTTCCTTCCCACTGCACCTAAAATGCAATTCAAACTTCTTTCCAGGGCCTGCGAGACCCCTCATGATCTGTCCTCTGGCCCCCCTGAGACCTTCCTCCTTCTCACGGGCCACACTGGCTTTGCTGCTCCTTGAATATGCCAAGCTCCTTCCTGGAGCCTCAGGACCTTTGTGCATGCTCTTCTCTTGGAAGATCCAAGAATGTTCTAGGTCTTTCCACCATTGACTCTTTTACAGGTTTCAACCCTAAAGTTATCTCATTAGAAAAGCCTTCCCAAATGAATCGTTCCATCAAATGTAACCCAGCAGGACTCTATGGGGCCTTCTCCAGACAGATCCTCCTAGGTCCTCCACCTGCCTCTTGTCTGGAATAAAAACTTTAGCCTCCTAGGCCTTCCTTGAGTTCCACAGAATAAATTTAATTAGAGAAGTGAGAAAATTCAGAAAGAAAGGAAAACAGTCAAGTGAGACAAAATAATAATAGTTTAGTCATTAAACAAAGTCAAGGACCTTTTAGTTCCTCCTCAAGGGCTATAGATAATATCCTGAGCCATATCCTTGAGCTGTTTTGCAGATACTGGAACCCCCACCAGGTGGAAGGAGTTAACTGCATGCTGCCCACAAGCACTAGACCCCAGATGGGTTGCAACCAGAAGGTTGATGATGTTGACTCCTGATTACCTCACCACCAACCAATCAGAAGAATGTCCATGAGCTGATGATGCACCCGACAACCGCCCTCCCTCATCCTGTCTTTAAAAACCTTTCCCGAAAAACCATCAGGGAATTTGCATCTTTTGAGCATTAGCTGCCTGGACTCCTTGCTTGGCGCCCTAGAATAAACGCTGTGCTTTCCTTCACCACAACCCGGTGTCAGTAGATTGGCTTTGCTGTGCTTGGGCGAGCAGACCCAAGTTTGGTTTGGTAACAGAAAGCTGTCCCTACCAGCCTCTCAAGTCCTCAGGAATCACATGAATGAAGTTTTATTTTCTTTATAATACTTGCCTTTAACTGGAGCGTTTTTGTTCATTTATTTGTTCACTCATTGGTCGAGTGCCCCACTAGACTGCAATTCCACAATAACAAGGGTCTGGTCTGTCTGGTACACTACTGCCCCTCCCACACCTCATGTATTGTAGGCACTTGGGGGCTGCCTGCTGAAGGAATGAGCATGTTTCCTCTAAGCCACTAACATGGGACTCCCAGGGATGGAGAAATCGGAGCTATTCAATGACACTGGCCGCCTGCCATGAGCCAGGCCCTAGGCAAAGCCCCGGGACAGCGCTGACCTGACGGAGGTTCTCAATAGCCCACAAAGTGGCCCTGCAGTTCGTTCCCCCCTTCTCGTCCAATTTTACACTGTTTGCCTTAAAACTAAGGGAAAAAAAATCAAGACACAAGTTTCAGGGTTCCCTGCATCACATGCTGTTACTCTGCCAGAGAGCTGAGTGGTTCCCACACCAAGGGCACCAGAGCTGTAGCGGAAACCCTCACAAATCACTAGCCACGGAGTGGCCAACATCTGTCACTGCCAGAAGTGCCCAGTTACCCACCGGCAGCCTGATAGACAGGGAGAGCCCAGCCACCAGGCATCCAGCTCCCTAATGGCCAGAAGTGCCCAGTTACCCACTGGCAGCCTGATAGACAGGGAGAGCCCAGCCACCAGGCATCCATCTCCCTAATGGGACATTAATGTCTTCGATTGGCCTCTTGGGCCCCCAGCACAGAATCCAACTGGGACAGCGTCTAATTGCCCCCTGACGCCAGTAATTTATGGAGTGGGCTCCCATGGCAGCTCGGATCCAGCCAATCCATTTGGAGCCTTAACTGAAAATCGTGGCTGAACAAGAAACTTCCACCCGTGCCTGTTCAGCGCCCATCCAGTCGGGCACAGGTCGGCCAGGCGGGGCCAGAGGGACTGGAAAAGGACCAGCAAGGAAAATGGAAGCAACTCAGACACTTCCTCCCACCCTACTCCTGACCTTCAAGATTCTCCATATTCTAAAACAGGATTCTTCATCCCTAACGCAGCAGCCAAACACATTGGGGATGTTGAACTCCGGGAATGAATCACCTCTTTAGCTTCTTGCTGACGTGGGGAAGTTAGAAATCGGGTGCTGGAATTTTGTGTGGGCAACGCTCACCAAGCTTGATCATGTCTCTCTTTCCCAGCAGCATCACTACCCAAGCACAAACACTCACTCATTCAGAAATCCTGTTCAGCATCTACGAAGGCTGTGCTCTTGTACGTGCTGAGGGCACAGCAGTGAGCCAGTGCTGCAATCTCTGCTCTCTTGCAGACAATCACCAAGTGATCAGAGAAATCAACAAGATCATTTGAGATGGTAAATGCTAAGAAAAAAATAAAATAGGGATGTGGTGGGTGTAGAAATGTGGCATAAGTGGGTGGGCATGGAAGGCTTCTCCGAAGGTGCGCTATTTGGACTTAGATCAGAATGAACAACGACAACAAAAAAGGTGAAAACCTGGGGGACAGTATTCTAGGAAGGAGGATCACCACGTGTCAAGCCCGAGGCAGGAACAAACTTGGCATGTTTGACAAAGATGCAAGAAGAGTGAGCGGGAAGAAGAGTGGTCCTGGATGAGTCTGGAGAAGCAGACAGAGGCCAGATCATGTTGGGCCTTTCAGGTCTCGAGGTGGGGCTGATGTTACAAGGGTGGTGTTAGATGAATCCATCTCCCCAGGCAGAAAAATAACTAAAAGCCAATGCGGTCCTGGGGAGGTGGGAACTGCATTCCATGGATCCATGCATCAGACCATCTGTCCGTCCACTGACACCTCTGTTCATCCCTCCATGCACGCATGCATCCATTCACTCAACTATTCAATGACTGATCTGGTGCTTACTTTGAGTTAAACCCTGTGTTAGGAACTGGGGAAACAAAAGCACAATTAAGCATGGGATTTGTGGCTTAAGAGACCTGGATTCGATGTTGAGCTCTTCTGCTTCCTAGCTACGATCCAGAAAATCACTGACTCTCTATAGGCCTCAGTTCTCTAATCTGTAAGATGGGACTAATGCCACAACTTCATTAGGAAACTGGTTTGTTCCTGGTTTATTACTAACATAGGTTTAGGAGGAATCACTGGTTAGGGTGAAAAATGAAAAGGAATAGAAGTTCTACTATAAAAATATACCAAAGCTCCAGGTTGGTTGGTGCACTGATATTGACCACCCTGAACCTTCTCCAGGCACAGGGCCAGCTTACCTTTGGGCCTCTTCAAGTCCTCTTCTCCTCCAGCTCCAACTACAAGTGTCAGAGCAGAAACAGAACCCAGCAAGTGGACTGCCAGAGGGGATGTCGTGTGGTAGTTTCTGGCCTCTTACCTCAGAAAACTGAAGCCTCCCAAAGTCGCTGGGTGGGCTGGCGATCTTGAAGACTTTCTTTGGCATCACCCATGTCTCCAGGGTCTCAAGTTTGCTCACGGCCAGATTGGTAGCATGATGCTTGATCAGAAAGCCCTGGAAACGGTCAGCAAGGAAGTAGAGGTGGACAGAGGCTGGGTGGCCCATTGGATAGTACCTGAAAAACATGCACAGGCTCATGCAAGCTCATGGGTCAGGGCTGGACGTGTGTTGGATCACAGTGGGGTTCCCCACCCATCACGCTGGTCCTGTCCTTAAAATAATCCCTATTTTATACAAAGCTCACTGTGTTCCTGAAAGCTGCTCCCTGTGATTCTATGATCTCAATAACTGTTAACAGTAACTTTTTGCTGATCATAAATGTAAAACATGCTGACTGTATGAAAGCACAATCAAGAAAATAAAAACGACTACTTTTGATGCTTCTTTCCATAGATGATGTCAATTCACAGACATTCATTGACCCTCCAGTGCTAGGTACTGAGAAGCGACAGCAGTGTGCAAACAATGTCATCGTGACATATTTCTTTTCAGCCTTATTTTCTACACACATATTTACATAAATCCTATATAGCTGGGACCATAATATACACACTGGCTATATCCTGCTCTTGCTTCATAGTATTTCCTGTGCATTATCATGTCTTTGAATAGTCTCTGAAAACATGATTTTTGCGTGTGTGTGTATACATTCTTCCATTGTATGTAATACCATGATATGGAAATATAATACCAAATATGGTATTATTATATTATAGAGAAAGTTCCCCATCATTGGGTGTTCAACTGGTTTCTAATTTTGTGCCATTCTAAACAATGCTGCATTAACCATCCTTGAGCAAAAATGTTTTGGGGAACATCTTTCTTCCTCTCTAATCTCCAAGGGGCTCTTGATGTCTGCTGCCCAAGTTTACCAGAAAGGCTGTACTGATTTACACCTCACTGTCCTTACCAGTGGCACTGGGTATGGTCCTTAAAAATTATTGCCAAACTGAGATAAATTCTTACATACACAAGTAGGTAGCTCGTTTTAAGATGCATGCCTTTGATCCACAAAGGCTTCTCGCTGAAAGGGGCAGGGAAGCGAAGCAGAGATGCCCAGAGGAGGGGGGAGTGAAGAGAGAAGGAGGGAGGAGCCTGGACGAGCCCAGTTCTTTGTCCTTCCTACTTGTGAAATGAAAAGCTGTCGGCTTCTGCAGTATGTAAGGCGCGTGGTACTTAGAGGGTGCTTGTGGTTCCTTAATGACAGCATTCCACAAATCACTGTCCCTCTCAGCCTTCCTTTCCTCTGGTCCTGCTCTGGAGTTTAAATCTTTATGTCTGATTATAACAGTTAGGGAACCCGCCTTCCTGTGTTACGCATCTCCTGAAATCACTGCCTTGTTATCGGATGCCTTCGGGGCTTTGAGAAAAAAAACCTGCACTGTCTTCAGACTGCTTGCTGGGCATTCCCGGCCCACGCAAGTCCACTTTGGTCTGGACTTTGGAAGCAGAAAACGCTCCCTCTGGAGTGTGCTGCAGAACTCACTGCCATGATGGAATGTTCTGCATCCGTGCAGTTCAGTTCAGTAGCCTCAGCCACTTCTGACAACCGAGCACTCGAAATGTGGCTGGTGAAACCGAGGAACTGCATTTTAAATTGTAGTTAATTTAGACTTAATGTCTCCTCGTGGCTAGTGACGATTGTGGACAGCACAGATGGCACTGTGAAAGTGTCCTGGGGTTGCCTGCATTAATGTCTGCAATTTGTCACCTCTCCTGTCTCTTTCCCATGTGACTCTGTAGGTTTCCTTGCACCGATGAGGTGAGTCTATTCCCCCATCTCAAATCTGCTTTGGCCAGAAGAGGGGGATGTATCATGCCAGTTCTGAGCCAGGGCCCCAAGTAGCCTGGCACATTTCCACTCTCTCTCTTGCTTTTCTGTGATCACCATGAGAGCACACCTAGAGTAGCCTGTGGAGGGATGAGACACTCAGAGCAGAGCAGAGCCACCCCGGGTATCCCAGCCGAAGCCATCCTGGATCCGCCAACCACTCCCAGCCAAGACCTACAGCTGGCTGCAGATGCAGGAGAGAGGCCAGCTGAGCCCAGGAGAACTGCCCAGCTCACCTGCAAACTTGAAGGCTCTGTAAATGCTTATCGTTTCAAAGCACTGATTTGGGGCTTGTTACACGACATTATTGCAATAGGTAAATAATAGGTCGTCAGTGTTTGTTCTGTAAGGTCGTCAGTGTTTGACTAGTAAAGGTGGAAGAAAAGCAGGACGGATTGTCATGGGAGTTAAAAGAAGAAAGTGTTTCCAGAAGGCGGTGGTCAGTTGTATGGGGCGCTGCTAAGGGGTCAGGCAAACAAGCAATGGTCAAGTGCCCCAGAAATCTAGGAGTTAATCTTGGGTTGCTCGCTTTCCCTTATCTTCTTCCAAGAAATCCTGTTTTCTCCACCTGAATCCATCCTCTACTGTCCTATGCACCGCCAGCATCTTGGTCCAAGCCAACATCACGTCTTGCTGGACCTTTGCAGAAGCGTCCTTACTCGTCTTCCTCCTACTTTTGTCTGCTATAACTGATTCTCATAGTAGCAATATGCATCGTCCCTTCCTTAAATACTGCAAGGGGTTTTGCTTATGCTTGGGTAAAACCCAGACTCCTTACCTGGTCTAAAACTCCTACCTCTTTCTCTAGCCTCATTGTTTCCCTCCGTCCCAACCTACCACCTTCTAGCCACGTGGACCTTTTTTTTCGGTACGCGGGCCTCTCACTGTTGTGGCCTCTCCCGTTGCGGAGCACAGGCTTCAGACGCGCAGGCTCAGTGGCCATGGCTCACGGGCCCAGCCGCTCCGCGGCATGTGGGATCTTCCCAGACCGGGGCACGAACCCGTGTCCCCTGCATCGGCAGGTGGACTCTCAACCACTGCGCCACCAGGGAAGCCCCACGTGGACCTTATTTTGGATTCTTGAACATGCTAAGCTCATTTTCACCTCAGGGCCTTTGCATAGGACATTCTCTCTGCTGGAGATGCTCTTTTCCTCTTATGGTTGCATGGTTGTCTCTTATTTTGCTTAAATGTTACCGTCTCAGAGAGACCTTCCTTGACCCCTGAACTTAAGTCACCAGCTCACTGCTGTTACTTGAGTTTATCTTCATTCTTCATTCTCCATAGATCTTTTGTTCTTGTTTCTGTGAGCTGGGGTACAGCCTGCTTTCACACTAGCATGGGAGGGCCTTGAGCTCGGGACCTGGTCTGTCTGGGTCATGGCTGAGCACCCAGTGCCTAACACAGTCTGCCACATGGTAGGTGCTCAATCCATACTTACTGTTTGAGGGAAGATTCTAGAAGGATTTTCTCTTGAACCCTTTGCTTCTAAGGTACATCTAGGGAACCTGTAACCCAGGACTGAACACAAAGCCCACTGGTACCTCCTCTAGACTCTATATGGTAATTAAGCAATTAAGACTAAGAAGGGAGTTGTGACAAGATGCCAGGTGCAATACAATAGAACCTAAAGGATGCCTCAGGTGCATTCACTTGGCCCAAAGGTGTTTTTACTTCTTATTTAAATGAGGTGGGTATTAAAAAATTTAGGAGGCTCGCACAAAAATGTGGATTTCTGATTTGTCTTGAAAATTCAGGAGATGTGACTGGCAACTCCAAAGGTACATTCCTACAAGGAATGTGCCGGAGGGCAAGGATATGCTGGCGTTCAGCACCGGGGCCCCGGCGGGGGTCCCTGGTTTACAGGTCAGCCCACCCTGCGCTGAGGATACATGCTTCCTGCCTGGTCCTGATGGCATTTGAATTTGAGGACATGTAATAAAATACTGACATCCTTATCTCTGGATAGGGCTCACAAGAAAACTTTCAAACTGCCATTTTGAGATTTTCTGCAATGAACAAGTGTTATTACCTAATGAGGAAAAAATCAATAAACATTATTTTTATGAAAGGTTATACTATAGACTAGAAAGACACAATTTGCATGAAATGCCCAGAGAAAATGAGACTCCTGAAATAAAGTTTTCACTTGCTGTTTCCCCAGATAGCCCAGGGGTAGAAATTTACTCTTTTTTGCCTTTGGGACAAGGGTCCTTTGTCCTGATTTATTTGCAAGCTCATATTCATAAATATATATTGGCTTTTCCCACAGCGAGGCACAATGGTTCCATTATAATAAAAAATGTGGTAGAAGCCAAAGGATTCCAGGCCTGAGGCAACTTGATGGCTTGCTTAATCCCAAAACAAATACCAGGTAAAAATTTCAACAACTATAAATCAATTGGAGGAATCTTTTGAAATTTTCTATAAGATTATTTACCTTATAAATGCTATGAAGCCTGGGATTAAAACTACTCTTAAACGGCATTTGCCTCCCAAGCATCGGGCACTGTGCCATCTACTGGGGACACATATGTGGTTCCTTGGCCAGGGATTCTAACCCCGGACTAGCAGGGGGAAAAGACATTCACCAACGGCCTTGATCCAAGACACTGCTGCTAAGCGCAGGGGTAGTGTTGGAGGCTACTTTGGGCTCAGGAGAGGCACGGGGTGGGCTATCAGGGGAGCTCTTAGCAAGTTTCACAGAGGATGTGGCACCTGAGATGACCCTGGAAGACTGGGAAAAGGCAGAATGAGTGGGGACGGTGGGGACGGTCAGCAAAGAACAGCGCAGAGGAAGCAATGAACAGTTCATGTAACCAGTGATGGAGCACAGCCGGCTCCCTATTGGCTGCTTTTGGCAGTTTAAGAATATTGGCAACTAAGATATCAACAACAGCATAAACATGTACCAAGCACTTCATATGTAAAATACTGTTAAAATGGGGATAATAATAATACATAACTCATAAGGTAGTTTTGGAGGATTATCCCCTTTAAACCTCACAACACCATACGCTGTAAGGCTTATGATTACTCCCATTTTACAGATGAGAAAACTGAGGCTCTGAGAGGTTCATGACTTGTCCAAGGTCAATAGCTAGTAAGTAGAGTGGAGTTCAAATGGCAGGTCCTGGGTTCCTAACCCATTCTGGTCTCCCTTTCAACTAAATCAGAACCTGCAGGGAGAGGAGAGGGAAGGCTGAGGGAAAAACTGTTGCAGCCCTGTGGAAATCCATGCATGGGGCCCCATGTTTTCAGAGTTTTAGGGAACAAAATGGTTCCTTTCCTCTCTTTCTTCTGTTCTTGAGAAGAGGGAAGAGCGGGGCAGGGAGGGACACAGAAGGCTCACTGGGGAAAGACTGATATTAATACTTTTTTTTCTTTGTTGTTTAAAGAGGAAGGTGGGAGGCAGAACAAGAAGGAGAAGGAGAGTGGCTAGAGGCACTTCTGGGAACCCATCCTCAGGAAATAATCGGAAAAGAGAAGGGGGATAAAAGAGGCTTTCTGCAAAAAGATATTCATCAGAACATTATGTACAATGGTCCATTACTGACAATAGCAACAGGAAAGGGCTGAATTAAGCAAACTCCGGAATTCCTACTCAGTGGAATACTAGTGGCATTAAAAACGGTCATTAGGGCTTCCCTGGTGGTGCAGTGGTTGACAGTCCGCCTGCCGATGCAGGGGACGTGGGTTCCTGCCCCGGTCCGGGAAGATCCCACATGCCGCGGAGCGGCTGGGCCCGTGAGCCGTGGCCGCTGAGCCTGCGTGTCCGGAGCCTGTGCTCCGCAGCAGGAGAGGCCACGATGGTGAGAGGCCCACGTACCACAAAAAAAAAAAAAAAAAAAAAGGGTCATTATCCTTAAGGAAGCTGCAGAGCAGCAAGGAGAAGACAGGCTAGTATTATAATGCCGAGCGAAAGAAGCAGGACACCAAATCCTTGTTGTCATCGTGGAAATGTCTGCAATGTACATTGCTAGAGAACGGAAGAGAAGGCACACAAAATGGGAAGGGTTGGCTGGCTTAGGGAAAGGCAGGGGAGAGATGGGGCTATGTTGAATCGTTTTCCCACCTTCCGTCTTCTATTCATATATTCTAGAACATTCTTTCCTGAAGTGTCAACTGGTACCCACTAGCGGTAGATGAGACGATTCTAAAGGGTACATGAACATTTTAAATAATAGTTCTGCCTTTTTGTGATGTTTTTGGTTATGTTTTTTGGTGTAACAATGATAGTATGGTTACATTTTAAAAAGGAGTGAATTTTCAGAGATAAAATATTTATGGGATTTGCTTCAATCAAACTGATCTGGGACGAGGGGAAGGTGAGTGAAGGCGCAGATGAAACTGCATTGGCCGGGAGCTGGTAATTGCTAGAGCTGGTGATGAGAGATGGGGTTACACTTTTCTCTCTATTTGGTGTATATTTGACATTTTCCATAATAAAAAGTAAAAAAAAAAGTTCTGTATTTTCATGATTACTTCCCATGTGGAACAAAAATAACTACCTAATACGGTGACATAAAGCTTCCTTCTAAAATACATATATTTAGCACAAAGAATGAGTCCACAGAAAGGAAATAATTAGGTAAACATTAGATCTGCTATCCTGAGAAGGTAAAAGGGTGACGAAGGCTTAGACAGGAAATGCTCTGAACGCTGGGATGTCTGCGTGGATGATTTTAGGGAGAAGCTTGGGTGGAGCCGCAGCCCCTACAGAGGAGGACGTTCCCTCATCCCTGGTCCCCCTGCTCCCTGGCTCACCTGCAGCTGTTCTCCCCGGCGTCGTGCAGCAACAGCTCTGCCCGGCGGAGGCCCAGGCGGGAGAAGGAATGATACAAGGTCAGTGTCACGTCGTTCAGGCTGTGGATGCCGTCAGGCTCATCGTAGACATTCTCCCAGTACGCGCGGAGGCCCGGGGTGCCCGCGGGGTAGTTCCCATACAGGTAATAGTCCAGCTGCCCAATGATTTCCTGATTCACCACAGCTTCGAACTTGCGGGCAAAGAAGGTGGGCCGGGCTGTCTGCTGCGCTCATGAAATCAAAAGAACAATGTCAGCAAGTGGGGATGAGGGTAGGTGGGTATTTAGGAGCCGGGCTCTGCAGCCAGCCTGCCTGGATCCACATCCCAGCTCTGACACTTACTGCCCTCTCTGTTCTCAGTTTCCTTATCTGTAAAAAGGGTGTTAGGATTGAATGAGTTAACATTTGTAAAGCATTTAAAGCAATGATGGACATGTAGTAAGCATCACTTAAATATCTGTGAAATAAATTATATCCTAGATGTTTATAGCTGGGATGGATCTCAGAAATCATTTAGCTGGAGGTCTAATACCTCTTACGGATATATTTTAGTTGTCCAGAAGAATGTTTTAAAATTGAATTAGCTGACAACATTTAAAAGGTAGAAGAGTTTACAGAAGCAACTTTTGGTTTCCCTCTGAACAGAAATGATCTGGCCCCATGTTCCTACATTCCTTTAAGTAGTTAAAGCTGAATAGCACCTGTCCCTTTAGATGGGCATGGGGTTTTTGGCTCACCACAGTCCCTACCATTCCCTATTGCCTCCTGGGCATTGTAACTGACTTACAGACTCACAAGGAACACCCTGGATTTACTGATCGGAATCTTCAGGAGTGGGGCTTAGAAATCTGTATTCTTCACAGGCTCTGAAGGTGGTTCATTTGCTCACTAGGGTTTGAGGATAATGCGAAGGACACCTGACCTGGCTGCACATCAGAGCCACCTGTGGAGACTGCGGAGTCCTTCCCGCCGACCTACTGAACCAACATCTCTGAAGATGAGGTTTAGGAATCCGTATCCAAAAAAAGCCTCCCGGGTGATTATGCTGCAGTGTTTGAGAACCATTTATGTAAACCAAATTTTCAAGGAGGCTGAGTCCCAGAGAAGAAAGGGACTTACTTAACTAAGGTCACACAGCAAGGTAATGGCAGAGCCAGGATTCAGATACAGCATCAAGGGTTAGAGAAATAAAATACTGAGCCCTTATTATCTACCAGGTCTAAAACTATGGTCTGGGGCAGAGATCAATAAACCTTTTCAGCAAAAGGCCAGACAGTAAGTATTTCCAGCTTTGCAATTACTCAAGTCTGCTGTCATAGTGTGAAAGCAGCCGCAAACAGGTAAGTGAACGGGCATGCGGTGCGGCTGTGCTCCAAAAGCGCGTCATTTACAAATACAGGTAGTGGGCTGGATTTAGCCCAGGGGCTGTAGTTTGCTGACCTCTGGTCTAGGGCTACGGAAACAATTAAAGCACAGACCGCTCCCTTGAGGAGCCTCTGATCTAGTGTAATTATTGACCTTAATTTGGGTCTAGCGTTGTTCTCACTGCAGTGGATTAATAGCAACAATAATGTCAATAAAAACTCCTGAGCACGTGCTATATACAGCGCACTGCATTTTGTCATTACCTCTAATCCTCCCAACTCTAATCCTCGGAACTCTGCAAAGCAGGCGTTACGATTCCCATTTTACAGATGAGGAAACTGAGCTTGGAGAGGGCAAGTGACATGTACAAACTCACACAGTTGTAAGGTTTGAACCCAGATCCGATGACTCTAAAACCCAAGCTCTTTCTTCTGCATCATCCTAGGATCACACTGCTAGTTGGGGGAACTCGAAGCCTCAATAACAAAAACCCTTGTTAGTATTTGGAACATCCCATCTGCTCTCTGCTTCATGACCCTTGGGAACCACACCCCCTTCTCTGTGGTGAAGGGGTCAGGTCAGTTCCCTTATAGCAGCACTGAAAAGAGCCAGACCATGTAGGTTCAAATCCTCATTCTGCATCTTTCAAGCTGTGTATGTCTTTGGGCAAGTCATCCAGGGCCTCAGTTTCCCCATCCTTAAAATGGGTATAATAATATGGGTACTTAGCATAGAGTCTGGCACACGGTGTTAGCAGCTACGAGTATGTGACTATTATCACTACACCCTTAAGCCTGCTACCAGGGGCTTCCAAGTCTTCATTTTCCGGAGGCAGAGAACCAGACTCAGTGGCAGGGCAGCCTCCTTTCTCCTCCCGAGATTCTCTGATCATAGCTGGAGCTCCTAAAGGGCACATTTCTATATTTACAGTTCTCCTCCTCGGAGCTCTTTCAACAAGAGCTCAAGACTTCCACGCAGGCAGCAGTTTCTTGAGTCTAGATGTTGGGGGATATTCTTGATCTTTGTTTACTGCGAATTAAAGAGCTGTGAGCATGTAACTCAGTCTCTATGTCAGCTCATCTTTATCAGAGACCACGATGTCCCCAGGATGCTGGGACTGGAATACAAGTGCCAGCGCCCAGGAGTGGCCCCAGAGGGGCAGTGCACCCAAGAATCACCCGGCTTCTTGCTCTAAATGATGAAGGTCCTTTGCAATGAGGGTGATGACTGGTCCTCTACGAAAGTGGGAATTCTTCTCTATTTTCTCTTTTGAATAGGTCAAATATTCCCCTCGCCACCCTCTTTCTGCTCAGCAGATCCTTTCTGCACGGACAATGGAACTAAAATGTCACCCAGGTTCATGCCTCAATTAACATGGGTTTGAGGAGGCCCCCGGGTAGCTCTCAATCTGCCACCAAAATGGACCTAAAGAATACTTATTGTAGTAACTGCTTGCGCAGGCGAAAGATGTTCGGTAGGAACCTTGAGGGAATAAGAATGATGGCATGAAACCTGCTGTGTATTCTGCACCCGACCAGGCATGAGACCAGGCTGGCAGCGGGGTCTGGTGGAAAAAGCTCAGGTCTGGAACTGGAAACACCTGTGTGGGACCTCCCACCCTACCACTCCACAAGCTGCATGTCCATGGACAAGCAAGTCCCTGCCTCTGTGCCTTGGTCTCCCCACCTGCACAATGGAGATGATTTCTACCGGGTGAAGCCAACGCCCACAGAGGACCAGGCACACAGTCTGGGATAGAACAGACCCGTACCCCGCGCTTCTCAAACAGAATAGCCTCCTAGGTGCTTGGGGGTCTCGTTACGATGCAGATTCTGACTCAGCAGGTCAGGAGCAGCAGAGATTCTGCATTTCCAACAAGTTCCCTAGTGATGCTGCTGCTGCTGGTCTGTGGACCACACTCCGAGGAACCAGGCTACGAGGGTGGAAGCTTCACGGGGCAGTCCGTGTCCTCCCTGGACATTTCCGTTATGTACCAGAGAAAGGCAGCAGGGGCACCTTGGACTGGGTTACCAGCCTGGCATTGTTGTCCCCCCCAATCCCTCCCCAACGTTTGTGGTTTGGGAAGCAGCACATCATCTCCATGTGGTGGCTCTAGTGACCTCAAAGTGACTTGTTTAACCACTTTGTAGCCTTCTGTTTGTGCTCTGGGCAGTTGAGGCTGGGCATGGTGAGGCGGAGAGGAGGAAGAACTCAGGGTACTGGCCTAAAGGGAGTGGGAGGTATGCTCGCACGGGGTGGAAAGAGGTTGCCATCCTGAATAGGTCTGGGGTCCAAGGCACCCTTGGTGCTCACGGGAAGCAGATGGGGCACTGGCCACCCTCCTGTCTCTGCTCTCCCCAGAACTATGAATCGATGGGCCTTGCAGAGATACCTGTGAAGGCAATAACATTTCTTCTTGTTCCTCCTTTAAAGTTCACAGAGCGCGGTGTTTTACAAACTTGTCTGCTCATCAGAATTTCTCAAAGTGTAATATATTAAAAATAAAAATTCCTGGACCACACTGGAGATCAAAAGCTCTCAAATGGGGATGAGTTTGCCACCAGTGGACAGCTGGCGATGTCTGAAGACATTCCTGGTTGTCATAACTGCAGGGTGCTACTGGATCCCCACAGGGGACATGAGGCAGCATCTGGGGACGTCCCTGGTTATCACAACATGGGGAGGTGCTCCTGGCACCTAGTGGGTAGAGGCCAGGGAAGCTGCTAAACATCCTACAGCCCCCTCACCCCAACATAGAATTATCCAGCCACAATGTCAAGAGTGCTGAGGTTGAGAAATTCTGCCCTCTAATCAAGTTTGTACCCGGCAATATATATATATATATATATATATATATATTTTTTTTTTTTTGGCGGTATGCGGGCCTCTCACTGTTGTGGCCTCTCCCATTGTGGAGCACAGGCTCCGGACGCGCAGGCTCAGTGGCCATGGCTCACGGGTCCAGCTGCCCTGCGGCATGTGGGATCTTCCCGGACCGGGGCACGAACCCGTGTCCCCTGCATCGGCAGGCGGACTCTCAACCACTGCGCCACCAGGGAAGCCCCCAGAAATATATTTTTAACAAATATTTCAGGAGATTCTGATTGAAAGGCAGTATAGAGAAATGGATACAAGTATGGCCTTTGGAAACAGATATATTGGGCTATGTGACCTTGCATAAAGTTAACAGAACTTTCTCTGCCTCAGTTTCCCTATCTCTAAAATGGACTAATTATGTATGTATGTATGTATCTTCTAAGGCTGTTGTGGGGTTAATGGGTCAATACAGGGAAAGTGGTTAGAACATCCCTTGCATGGTGTTAGTGATCAATAAACGTTGGCTACTGTTGACGTTGTTATGATTATCATCAAGAACCAGGGTTGGGGGGGCTTCCCTGATGGCGCAGTGGTTGAGAGTCCGCCTACCGATGCAGGGGATGTGGGTTCGTGCCCTGGTCCGGGAAGATCCCACATACCGCGGAGCGGCTGGGCCCGTGAGCCACGGCCGCTGAGCCTGCGTGTCCGGAGCCTGTGCTCCGCAACGGGAGAGGCCACGGCAGTGAGAGGCCCGTGTACCGCCAAAAAAAAGAAAAAAAAAGAACCAGGGTTGGAAAGTGCAGGATCCAGTGACCTGCAGGGCTGCCTTGGATGCCTGCAGACGCTGGCTGGAAGGCGCGGCTCACCTGGAAGCGGTGAAAGTCCTGCGGCTTGAAGTCGTTGGGGGAGCAGCCGCACCAGTCCACGATGTGCTTGTACTGGCACTTGCAGCCCAGCTTGCGGTTCCAGTTGGTGATGCGCAGGTTGTTGTCCACCATGGTGTCGCAGTGGGGACTGTTCTCCAGGACCGTGTGGAAGAAGGACTGCGGGGCAGAGAGGGGCCAACCTGAGACCTCGTCCAGCCTTCCTCGAGTGGGCTGGGGTGAGGGGTCCTTCCCGAGGGCCACCTGGCAGTGAAGGGACTCTCCTGGAGACTCAGCTGTTCTCTCTGCAAATGGAGTCAGTGCCAGTCCAGGCCAACCAAGGGTACCCTGGAGGTTTTGTCCAGGGTGGCTTAATGCTGCTTAGAAGTTACTGCTCCGAGTGTTTCTCTAAGATGTCTCTCCCCAGCAGCCTAGAAACTGATTCCAAGACATCTCTTATCACCCAGGACATCCTCTGTCCGCTCAGCAGAGAGAGAAATTCCCTTAGGGTATGTCAACACATTGGGACCAGAGAAAAACACTGGGACAAGTTTCTAGAAAACCCTGGGCCAAAAGGGCTCTTGATTTTGTAAATAGTTAGACCTGAAACCAAAGAGACTCAGGTCTGAGATATCTTGAAAACAAAGACTGAAGCTCTGGAATTTCACTCCTGGGAGAGGGCGGCCAGAATCACGGATGCCCTCCTGCCCTAGTCACTGGAGTAGCGACTACAACACTGGGAGGGGAGGAGGTGGGGGTCCATTGGGCTTCCCACTGTCCGTGGTGCTGAACCAGGTGCCGTAATCTCCCCCATTCCTGAGGCTTGGTCAACCTCTCCTAGGAATCTGAGAAAGAGGCAATGTTGAGAGTGAAAAGAGAGACCAGAGGAGAGACACATAGTTGGAGCTACTGAAAGAGAGAGAGACGGGGTGTGTGTGTGTGTGTGTGTGTGTGTGTGTGTGTGTGTGTGTGAGAGAGAGAGAGAGAGAGAGAGAGAGAGAGAGAGAGAGAGACTTCTATTTGGACAACTGTTTTATAACAACCTCAGATACCAGGCAGATACGTTCTCCCCTGCTCTCTGCTTCCTAGGGAAAGCTGTTGGGGAACACGTGTCTTCCTGTTACAAATTCATGGCACAGCCTTCAGATTTCTTCTAAACTGGTCCCCTGGAGGTGGTCTGGGAGAAGGGCAGGACAGAAAGGCTGGGATGGAGGAGGTGGGATCTAACAGGGATGCTGGAGTGTACAGTGCCTGTGTGCGTTGGGAAGTGGGGGATGGTTGGGACAGAGAGAACCAGCATTGGGACGGGCACCTTGATTAAACAGCCAAAGCCCCAAACAGTCTCTTCTCAATGGGTGAGTGGACAAAATGAGGCTCTATCCACACCCCAGCTGCCCTTCTTATGATGTTAAATGACATGCCTGTGAACCTGCATTTTAAGCTTGAATTGTCTACAAGCCCAGAGAGGCACATATTCTCCATCAAGCAGTGGGGGAAAGTACCCAATTATCCATTGCCCTGTGTCCTTTTGTAATGATACAGAAATTCCCTGGAAGACAATGGATGAGGAGGTTATCAGACTTGATGGAAAAGGTGATTTTTGCTGAAATAGGATTAAAAGCTGATTACTTAACATGTGTGCAGAATAGCAAAACCTGGCCCAGTGATGACAAGCCCATCATCCCTCAGGATTGAAGTGGGCAGTCATCCTTACTCAGAGCTTGGCCTTGCCCCAGATGTCGGTGAGGGATGTGGAAACCATCAAATGAGTTGCACTGTCTTGTCTGGCCTAGAAACACACAATCTGAGTGGTCCAGAGATGGGGCACAGCCAGGAATGGTGGACCATTCATGGGAGGTGTTGCAGGCTCAACAGAAACAGAACCAGCTCTGGAATTTTCTGAAGTTGGAAATTAGGGTGAAAGTGAACTGGAGGTCAGGGAGCTAATCTAGAATCTCTCAGTTCAGGTCTGAAAAGAAGGCCGCTGGCATGTCAGGGGCAACACTTCAGCACTGAGTCCCTACCCGTTTCCAGACGGGGCTGGGGCTGTTTCAGAATACCCTGCAATCTTACACAATAGGACTTCTGAAATGGACTGAATGTTTGTGTCCCCCCAAAATTCATAGTTTGAAATCCTAACCCCCAATGTGACAGTGTGAGGAGGTGGTGCCTTTGGGAGGTGATTAAATCATGAGGGTGGGGTCCTCATGAATGGGATTAGTGCCCTTATAAAGGGGACCCTCACCCCTTCTGTCATGTGAGGACACAGCAAGGACTGTCAGTAGTCAGCCTGCAACCCAGAAGAGGGATCTCACCTGACCATGCTGGCACCCTGATCAAGGACTTCTAGCCTCCAAAACTATAATAAGTACATCCATTTTATTGTATTTTGTTTTAGCACCCTGAACTAAGACAGTTTCCCATCCTGAGGTCTGAAAAGTGGTGACAGACTTCCCAGAGCTTTTCAAATACTTCCAAAAGCCGACAGGAAATGCCGAGTCCCAAGCATTTGGACACAGTGACTGTCAATGCAGGGGGCTAGTGCAAACCCAACAGGAGCCCTGGCTTTGGAATCACTGGAATTTCTGGTGTGACTGATGAGGCCAAAACTACTGTCTGTCAGGGAATGATAGAATACTATTCAAAATTAGAAAAGGAATTCTTGGTGTTGAAAAGTTATTACAGGATTGGTAAATGTGGAGGATCTGTGAAAAGTTGATGTGGGTGTTTCCTGAAAAAGCCAGCATATACAGTTGTGCAGGTTACACACTGCACAATTCTAGGGGGCACCATTGCTATTGTAGGTATGAGAGCTTTGTATTTATATAAATAACAGTTTTCTGAAAAATGGCAATAAAGTGTCTTGTTCTAACAAAATCAGTATATGGTGATGGTTTTACGACCAATGGGAGCCAAGTGTCTTGAGGAAGAACTGCCTTTTTTACTTTACATCTTTAAAGATGTTGTCTAGATTGCTGGTGGCAGCACTGTGCATCTACTCCATAACAACCTCTATGTAGACTGGAGGGGACCAGGGGCCCTGCTGTGACAGAAAGGTCCCTGGTAGCCAAAACAGTTCCCCATCTTCCTCTGGATGTTTGGAGGACAACGTATTGAACCCTGCGTGGCTTTGCCAAAAATTCAGCACCCACTTTGCTCCAAAGGCTAGAGCCAACCCCTGCCTTTCTCAGGGATTTTTTCCTGGATACTCACCTCTGCAGGAAGCAGGGTGTAGGAGTAGAATTGCTTCATTTTGGTCACCAGATCGTCTGTGGAGAACGTCACATACTCAACAAACTTCCGGTTTAGCAGGAACCAATCTGAGCCGCCATCCACGGCAATGCCCTCTGGGATCCGCCGGTCCCCCAGGCGCCACATGTGGGCATCACACTCCAGAAAGAGCCGGTCCAGGCCCTGTTTCCGGATGAACCTGGGCAAGACAAAGTAGTGCTTAGCCCTGAAAGAGCGCCGCCACCTAGAGTACAAATGAAATGGCACAGTCTCGGCAATAAAGGCATTTATTGAGTACTTACTGTGTGCTAGGTACAGCGCTAGGGGCTCTGTGTGTAGTTTTTCACTTGATCTTCACAAGTGAGGCTGGTGTCTATAACCCTATGAGGTAGGTACTATTATTATGCCCATTTCACAGATGAGGACACAGCTCAGAGAGCTTAGGAGACTTGCCCACCCAGCACAATTAGATGGCAGTGATCATCCGCTACATCTGCTTCCTCTTTGGAGAACTCCTGAAATCACCTTTTCATGCCATGGGTGCCTTGGCAGTTTGGTGAATACAGCCTATGGACCCTCATCTCAGAATAATGCTTTTATTTTTTTAATTTATTTTTAAAAATTAATTAGTAAATTAAGTATAGTTGATTTACAATATAGTGTTAGTTTCAGGTGTACAGCAAAGTGATTCTCATATATATACACACACACACACACACACACACACATATATATATATATACACACATATATATATTTCAGATTCTTTTCCTTTATAGCTTATTACAGGATATTGAATATAGTTCCCTGTGCTATACAGTAAATCCTTGTTGTTCATCTGTTTTACACATAGCAGTGTGTATCTGTTAATCCCATATTCCCAATTTATCCCATTGCAGAATAATGCTTTTAAATGCATACAACAAAAATACACAGGGTTACAAAATATTTTCAAAAACACCAAAGTGATGATATAGTAATTCACATGATTCTTGATTCACACATTAAAATGAGTATTACAAAATATTTTTTAAAACACCACATTTATGATAATTACATGTGTTTCCTTTTTAACACATTTAATCACAAGGTCTTATAGTAGGTCTAAAATCTACTGTAATTTTGAAGAAGAGGTGAGCATATATGACATTTAGAAGTGGATGCATCAATTATAATGCGATTTGAAAATATGTGATTCCTGGGCCTTTCCTGGCGGTTCAGTGGTTAAGACTCCGTGCTTCCAATGCAGGGGGCATTGTTCGATCCCTGGTTAGGGAACTAAGATCCAATATGTCACGTGGCATGGCCAAAAAAAAAAAAAATGTGATTCCTAACAGTAACTGCTAATACTGTGGTGGTTTGTTACCCTACATTTTGCCTACATTTAGCTAGATTTCAGTTAGAGTTTAGTGAAAATTAAGATCATTTTCTTCCTATTCAAAGTCACAGACCCCTGAATTCTATCCATGAACCTCAGATTAATAACTCCTGCTCTAGGGGACACGGACACACACACACACACACACACACACACACACACACACACACTCTCTCTCTCTCTCTCTCTCTCGGGATTCTGCAAGCCAGGCAGGGTGGAATTGGCATTTCCTAATTTGTAGATGCAGAAATCAAAGGTCAAAGAGCTGGTGAGGTGGGTGTGTTGGGAGGGTAGACAGAACTAGAGCCAAGCTCTCTGGCCAAAACTCTCAGTTCATTTGCAGTTAGCATTAACTTCGCACCTACTATGTGCCAGGCATGTGCTGGCCTTGAGGCAAGGAGAAGTGAGGATGGTCCCTCCTCCTCAGGAGCTGGTTATCTCGTTGGGAGTTTATAGTCTACAGGTCTCCCCACCCAGGGATCTTGCTGCCCCTCCAGCTCATGCAACATAAAATCAACCATTTTAAAGCCTACAATTCAATGGCATTCGTTCATTCACGATGTTGTGCAATCGTCATCTCTAGTTTCAGAATATTCTGTCACCCCCAAAGGAGACCCCCATCCCATTCCCCCTTCCCTCCAGTCCCTGGCAATCCATCTATGGATTTACCTATTCTGCATATTTCTTATAGAGAGAATCACACAAGTTGTAGTCTCTTCCACTTAGCTTCGTGTTTTCAGGGTTCCTCCACATGGTAGCAAATAACGGGGCTTCATTCCCTTGTTTCTGTCTGCCCAGCATCCATTGTCTGGGAACCACACCTTGACTTTATTTTGGACACTTGCTCACCCTCAACTCTCAGTTCACTTGGCTTGCCTCACCCCCAGCACCAGGGGTGGGAACACGACTCAGCCTGGTCAATCAGAGTATTCCACCTGCTTGGCTGCCATAATTGCTTCATGGACGCGCAAGCACCTCAAGCTGAGTCTGAGACTAGGTTCTGGAGTTTTGCTGGAAATACTAGGAAGGAGGGCTTTTCTAGGGGATTTTTTTCTGGAAGAATGCAAGCTGAGGGCTGCTGACAGCCATCTTGTCACCATGAGTATTGAGGTTGTCTGATCATGAAGGTAACATAGAAGAGAAGACAAAAAAAAAGAGAGACGGAGAATGGGAGGGAGGGAGGGAGGAAGTAAGGAAGGGGGAGAGACAGACAGACAAGGCCTTGATGACTTTGCTTGAGACCCTGGATCTTGCTATACCTGATTCACCCCCAGACTTGTCAGTAAAGTGCGTAAGGCATTTTAAGATGGGATTCCGTGACTTGCAATTGAAAAAGTCCTGACTAATACATTCCTGAATGGTTTCACCTTTACCATTACCGTGATGAATGCAAATGTTCTTAGGCTCCACATAGGGCAGGTAGCCATGGCTGTGGCACATTAATGCCACCTCTTCCACTAGAGCAGGCTGCATCCCCCATTGTGTGTCTAGAGGTCTTTGTCCCTCCATGGCAGACTTCATCTCTGTCTTCACATCAGAGTTACCTGTCTCCTCCGAGGTAGATGCTGTGCTCACTAGAACTGATCTTGGCTTCCTCCTTTCTGCCTACCATATAGGTCCTGGAAGAGTGCAAGGCAACTGCTCAGGAAAGGTCTATGGTGATGACCAGACGTCAGGGCATAGAAGCTGAAGACAGTCCCACCCTGTTGGTCATGCTGAATTCTACAAAGAATCTCTCCCATTGGGCCTCCCACAAATCCACCAAAGGGAGCTGCCTGAAACCTCACTAATAAACCCACATCCCTAGCGCTTTCTTCTGCATAAATAGAGGACCTGCTTCTTGACATTGGTCACTCACTGAGCACGATGGTGTAATATATTTAATTCTTAACCAAACTGATGCTAGTGTAATAAAAATGGTGACAACAATGATGCTGGTGGTGAACGGACTTAATTCTGCTAAAATGCGCTTTTCATCTACATTGCAGTGTGGCTCTACCAGTAACCAGCTGGGTGAATTTGGAAAATGATGACCTTGAGTCAGTTTCCCCCATGGGAAACTGACAAAGTTGGGCTAGGTCTAGGTTATAAAATTAAATGTCTACAGGGGTCAGACAAACAATATAAGTTTGTGAGGGGGGCTTAGTATAAGATAACAGGGTAGGTGGAGTTAGCAAAGACGTAGAGACTGCATTTTCTGAAAAGCACTCAAATCCCTTAAAAAAAGCATTTCTGGCTAAATAAGACATATCCCTAGGCTGAATCCAGCCCACAGACTACCAGTCACAATAACGCTGGGTTAGGTAATCTCTAGGGTACTTTCCAGTTGTGACGTTCTCTAAGTCCCTCTGTTATGCTCAGCAAGAGGTGTGAGGCAAGCATTAGACGGATGCACGGGAGCCCAGAGAAGGCTGACAACTTTTCTGAGGATACAAACAAGGGCAGAAGCCGACCAGAAGACCCACGTGTCCAGCGTCCCTGGCCCTGTTCTTTTCCTAACACACCTTTCCTAGTGCAAAATCCAAGTTCGTTAGCAAAGCCATGTTCTCTCTGGGGAGCGACCTGGTGAAGGGTTTTCAATACACTCACCATAGCACTCACTGACACCAAACTTGGCTCTAACGGACCCACTGAAGGAAGCCGCTGAGTCTGAGGAAATAAGATCCTACCTCGACTCTGGCTGGTGCCAATTATATGATAATGTCCAGTGGGCACACTTAACTGTGTTTAAAACTTTAAATTTTACATACTCTATATCAAAACTTACATGGTAATCAAGACCAACTGAGAATAAGAGAGAGAGAGAGAAGAAATACAGGTGGGACGACTTGCAAAATTTTTCTTTCCGTGGAGCAGCTTTTTAATTTCATGTTCCATTAGATGGGATAACAGCATCATCTTGCAATTTTAATGTGATGTCCCGGACCGCAATATCCAAATACAATATTTATGCAGTAATCTCCAAAATGAAATATTCACGGGGTTGGGAGATTGGCCGCTGTTATTTACTGCCTTCAAAAACTGATAAGCTGCAAACACATGCTTTGGTTAATTATGAGTAAACAGAGACCACAGATTGCCTAGGTATCAGAAAGGGGCTACCAGGAACTTAGGTCTGGACTCAGATAAGGTGGCAGACGCCCAGAGTCTGGGTATCTAGCAGGCGAAAAGAATCAGCTGTTTCAGCAGTGATTTCCTTTTTATTCTTCCCTGTGGATTTACTATAACTTGAAAAGGTAAAGGTCGGAAACCATAGTAAGTTTGTGAACACCTGGGTGAGCGTTGTCATCAATGCTGGCTCACCGGGAAAAGGTGCACGGCTCTCTCACCTGAGGGATGGAGGGAAGATTTGCAGCAATGGGCCCAATTCACAGAAGGTGACCAATGATGCTGCCCTCCCTTCAGTTTTGTTTCCAGTTGACCTGGTTACCTGGTAGAACTGGGCTCAACAGGTGATACCATAGAAGAGCAGACACGAAGAGGATCTGGTACCAATGCTGTCTCTGCTTTCACTGAGAAGTGGGGCTGGCTTAGCTTCTCTGAATGCCAGTTTCCTCACCTGTAGGGTGAGCTCCATGACACCTGTCCTAACAAGTTCCCAAATCAGCTGCAGACCTGTGATGGGTGATTGTTTACAAAGGTCCTTGCAAAGGAAGCACTCCTCACCCAAGCAATGGGCTGACCCAACCATCAGTTCTTTTTTTCATAGAGACACCATCCCTCCCCAATCCTCCTTGGGTGTTTTATTTTTCTCCATAGCACTTTTCATTTTCTAATATAATATACAAACTAAATATTTATTTAGTTTATTGCCTATTTCT